GGCACATTAAAATCGACACAACCAGCACTGGCATCTAGTCGTCTGTAGAGCCATGGGCAAACGAATTGCTGTACGAGAATTTCAGCAGAGATGCGTTCAGCGAGTGCTGAATAACTTATAGTAAACGTTCACCACGCGTGTCTAGGTTCGAACCCCGCGCGGCAAGTGGTATGTGCTATTGAAAGGGCATAATAACAAAAGCAGAACTCGACTTTTTGTGGACGTAAAAGAGTAAATATGGTAGGACATGAGGAAGAGTGTTCAACGGAGAGTGGTCTGAGCACAATTACAGGCATTGCTTCGTACTACGGCCCTTTTTTGCTGAAAACAGCATGTTGGTTAGGTGAAATTCTGCAGAAGGAAATTAATGTCGCGAAGAATATACCATGTTTATGCAATTGCCTCCTGGGTCTTTCCGTTTGCAATAAAGCACACGCGCCTGTGCCGTGTCATTCAAATTCAGTTTCGTCCAGGCGTATCACTTGTACTTGCAGTCATCGACTGTATCCTTGCTTTTGTTTGAGACACAAAAAACCCAGCTACGCAATGTAAATGGTGTGGAGTATTTTCAGGCTCATTTCGACCTTTTGATGTAAAGGCTATTGCTACGTGTCACAGACAGACAGGTGTATTTCTCCTCCTTAAGAGGAATTAAATAAAATTGGTCATTTTTAGAGATATTTCGCTCTTCGCGATAACTCACAGTTGACAGCACCACTGTAATCACCATGGATGGCAAAAGATTCAAGTGGTTGCTTGAAGACATCAATTATCTTATGGAGGGTAAATTAATAAACCAGAGTACAGTGCACGAGGTTGTTTATTCGCAAATGCAGTCTCTTTAAACAGGGATGACCATTGAAGGCGACCCTCCAGAAGACCGAATTTATCCGCTCATTTCTCGGCTGGACATTTCGATCCATTGTTCTTTGAACCGGGGATCGAGTTTTTGCCCCGAATATGGGAGTCATGATTTTAGGTCTCCTTTCTTCTCGAAAGTACACTGTCGCTCAAACTTGTACATATATACAGAGTAGTTAGATCAGTAGAAAACGCCCCTTTAGGGGGATTATTTGCAAACTAAATCTGAAGGGATCATCTTAGCAATGTCATCACTTTGAGAGTCTCACATTGGTAGCACACTGGAGAATATCCTATTCCTGAAAATGTTGAATAAGTGAGATGGTCTTGGGAAACCATGTGCCTTCATGATGAGTTTCTTGACTAAAAAAGCAAATATTTACCTGGAATCACTTTACCATCATCATCATTATCATCATCATCTACAGCATGACATAACAGTATTTAACACTGATGCTCCGCTGCCATACAACCATGAATTGTTATAAAGCCTTAGTGCGAAGAAAAGAGTAAAACTTAATAGACAAGGGACTTGGTGCTGGCTTTCTAGAAACATTTCGAGATGCCCACACCTCCGACGCTTGAGCAGGATTATTAGACAAAGTAAATATGGTCCAACTTCTCTCCGCGAACTCCAGAAACAGATCTAAGCACGCATTTGCATTCTGTAATGCATGCTTTTGACAGCTCATTTCTAAAATGAAGTTTTCCAGTCAAAATAAACATGGTTTAAAAGCAGAAAAGCAGAAGACAAAACGCAGCTGCAGGTAACAAAGACTTTCAACCTATGGTTGCAATAGCTGCCTGCCGTGAGTAGGATTACCAGTTCTGGAAATCTGTGAAGATTATACTGCATTTTCAGTGACTTCACTGTAACTAAAAAACGTCTCTATTCCAGCTTAGAAATTAATTCTGAGCGGATAAGATGCACATCAGCCAAGTCGTTTGATTTTCCTTAACGCAGCTAAAAGTGATCACCTTGTGACAATCCACTCCACTCTACGTGCTGAGAAGTCACATGACCACCTGTGTTTGGGAGTACACATATTTGATCATGTATGGAACCTGTGACAGGCGTCAGGTGGTGACTGTATACGGTGGTGATCCAATCATGTCTTGAAAGGATGCGTTGACATCATATGGTTTAACGAATTCTTAATCGATATGTTGAGCCAAAGCAAGGCAAAGTTGGTAGATAAAGACTACCTCTGAAATCAATAATTGATTTCTGTCAAATCCACTATGGTGAATATCGCTATTTATAGCCCGAAGACTTCATATCTATGTGAGGTCAGCCTGATCTGTTTCATTCGATGATCGGCATTTGTGATGGAAGCTAACCAACACAGTTTTATGACTTCATGACATTAAACAGAAAAAGCCGGCACAACCTGTTTTGTCACACGTCACGGCAGTAATCTAGTAATATTATATGGGTACAAGTAATGATGTCTAGAATTCATTCGTACTGAGGATCTTTATCCTCAGAAATGCGGCTGGTGTTTGTAGAAAATATTCAAGCCGAACAATACCTCTATATACAACCGTAATAATGAAATGGTTCTTTTGGAATTACATCATAATCTTGTCACTCGACCTGTCTGTCATGCCATTACGATGCGCCAGTATGATGCACCCTCGAGAACAGCGAATAAACTAAATGTAGCCTCAGGTAGGAATACAGTACGCAGTGAAGTTCCTCTAACAGAACCGGATGTTGCCTTCCAACAAAAACGTTTGGCTATCCGGCTCACATCGATATACTGAACCCGGAGTTTGAGCATTGAATCTGGAACCAATACCAGAAAGTTCACATGGCTGATGAATACTCGCAGCTTCTTTTAGAAAGGCAGTGTGTTCACTCTTGTAAACTGACAACAAAACATCACCAAAAGTTGTCTTATATTGGAATTCCGTCGTGGCCACGCCCTTCTTGACAATTTCAGTTCCCATTTCAAAAGCTTAGCTGGTAAGTAAGCAATCAAGCTCACTCGTTTGAAGTGCAATTCTGGTAGTGAACGGTCTGAAATTGTGTATATATGTTTCAGGTGGTTGATGGAATGAGGCAGTCAACATACAGTTACCCATTCGAAAAGGGTTGGAAACGTCCATTTAGCATTCTGAGAATCCGAATCAGGTGAACTAATGGGAAGGGTCAACAGATTTCTGTTTGGACGGTGCATAACATAATCAATTTCATGGATAAATAAGTACTGGTTATCTCACTATCAAGCCCATTGGTGATATGAAATGACCCAGACAGAAATGTCACATGATTACTGGTCGTACCATTCTGATTATATGATGCCTTTGATGGCTGGCTAGCTATCAACTCAGCAAACCATGCGAAGCACACATATTCACAACTTCACGTGTTTTAGCCTTTTCCCAAAGTCTTCGAGGTGGCTCGACAGGAATTATGAAGTATCTCAATGTAAACCCAAAGAGATAACTTGAGGTGTTGTTAAGGTACTTGTAAGGGGTTATACGGCTCTTGAATTTTCTGTGCCCAAAGATTCATACCCTTGTAGTAGTTTATCCTGAATACATTCAGTTTGACATTCTTGAGATTCGAAAACTGTCGAATCACCTAAAACTGGAGAATGACACCGTTCATATTCGGGAAATGAGTGATCTTTTTGAGCAGTCGAAATGATTATCGGTTATGGGTGTCTCCAAGGCTGTCGCCAACCACCCCGTGTATAATAGGGTTTCGAATTTTTAATATTGGGCTTCGACATTTACTCTGTATTCTCAGCTTCATCGACAGCTTGTACTGCTGACTAACACCTCTCCAATACACGTTCAACTAGACAAATTTGTTTAGTAACAACTTACTGCTGTTCCGCTAGGTTCTGTCAATCTAAAAGAACACTTTTATCCCACTATTTTGAATAGGGGATAAAACGGACTGCATAATCCACCACCGAGTGTAATACCGACCGACTTAAATTGTAAAACAGTACTGCACCAATGCCGAATCAAATCCAAGTTATATATAGGCCACCAATGAAGAACGTTTGTGTAGGTAACATCGGTTATCTTACCCACTAGACCCAGAATTTGGTATGTTTGATTTGGTGGCGTAATCAGTGCTGGTAGAAACAGACCAACCAAGCGATCAACAGTAACTATAGGTGAAAAAGCCTCAAGGGGCACTCGGTCGGTGTCAACAATGTTTTATTCCGGATGGTCAACCCGTGTTGCCGTGATTGTCATCCGTTTGCACATTTTCAATATTCCAAATCTTATTCGATCATTCTCTGAGCTAGTAATCATCTCTTTATGTCAGCATGAATGACAACTAATCGAAGATGAACTGATAGGTGTTGTAGACATCGGAGATAACATTTCGCAGTAGTTAGCGAGTCAGTAGTATAACTGGTTAACCGGAATGAGAAACGTACAAACATTCAGGTGGAACACCCTTTCGGTGGCTAGCTGCCATTCCACCACAAGGCATGAGGACAAATATACCGTAAAGTTGCCCGAATAAACACGGGGGCAGTTGAGATATCGAGGTAAAGTTTGAGTCACGAAACTTCCGGCCAGTATATTCACACCTAAAACACCGCGCTATCATGATCTCAAAGTAGAATGAAATGTTGGTTGCTACTTAAAAGGCACCTTATTAACTAGAGGCTTCATCTAATCCAGGTGGACGCCTGACAGGTAGTTTTGTACACAGTTTTTCAATTATCAGTGTGAATATAATTCCTCCTAAATTCCTAAACCTGTTAACTGTGGTGACTATTCGGTATCTAAAATAGTACATCGAAATAGCTTTCCTGTACACGTCCGTGAGTTTCCTACCAAACCACTTCTGTAAATCACTATGGGAAAGGCGTGAAAATGTGCATACTGGTCGCAGCCGCTTGGATTATGGCAAACAGCGTAGTCTAGAGTGTTTTAAGAACCCCGTTCGACTAGCGCTAATAAGATGACAGGAGTGTCGATTGACTCCCTACCCCGTTCTGATGGCGGTTAGATTCTATTTATTGGGGCATTGGTTAGACCAAACGGCATAAGCCTTATGCAGTACACCTCAGCCGTAAGAAGAGTCATGCGACTCACAAAGCTGGTGTTACTTCTATAATAATGAAGAATCATCTGTAACCGTAAGCACTGTATGTTTCCATAAACATATAATTTATAAATTGAATAAAAAATGCAGCATAAGAATTACGTTATATTTCTGTACTATAAAAAATATCAAAAACAAATTTGTTAGCTCAAAGATGAAATTCATCATGTGTTTTTGCAATCGGTCATATTCAGTCAGCCGGTGAAGAGAAATGTAGCTTCTTTGACAATGTTTCTTTATCTTGCCTGTTGAGGTAAGAAAAATGCAAATGAGTTTCTAAGTGCCTACAGGATCATCTAAATAGACTGAAATGTTGTCTACCCATAGAATACTGTTCTGGACTTTTCATAAAGGGAACTACTCACAAGGTAGCTGAAAACTTATCGATGGCCGACGACTGGTTTCGCCCTTCATGAGGCTCATCAGGTAGGCGAATATCATACTAACTGAAACATGAGGCAGCTTTTGTGCAACAGATTTAGTTGAAGAACATCACAAACGAGAAATTCAGCCCAGTTTCCAGGCAATTGATTTGCAAACGAGTGTATCTGTTGTGGGATTCTTTAGGAACGGTCACCAACTTGCAGGTCGATTAGTTTCGGTTAGTGTCACGTGGTACTCACCGAGTAAGATACCACCAGGATATGTTGAAAATAACGAAACCAAATAAAAAATAAACACCATCTGAATGATTCTCTCAGCTGCGCCTACATATAGGAAAAAACCATTCCTCACGAAAAGAATAAATTTAGAGACTCGTCAAAGGCTACTGACATATTTTGACCGTTTTACTAGAATACCAACGGTTTATTACGCACCCGCTCACCTCAGTATTGTAGCAGCTCAATAATCGGACAAATAAAGCTACAGTGTAAGAGAAAAACTGTCGCAGGTAGTGCCCGTATCCCATGTTTACATACTATGTTTGTTGAACCTCCAGGATCGAAAAATATCGGGAATAATTGAATCGAGCTAAGTAACATTTAGGGCGATGTATCCGCTTGATTTTTCCTGTAATATACGTACGGCCAAGCCGTCATTATTGGCTGTCATTCGACGAGACAGAAACTTTGCTAACCGTGTTATTATCACAACTGGAACATGTTGGAACATTTGTGAACATTTCAAGCTCCTAATAAGCAACATATTGAACTGAGAACCGCTAACTTAAAACTTCAATCACCCACAAGTGTTTATCCCATTCTTTTAAACAAATGAAACCAACACTATGAGCTAGTTTCCTACTCTAGCCTTATCATAAAGATTCTATGCCCACCAGACGAGGTCACGAAAAGGATGAAGGGTCTCGCTTGGCTGAAGTAAGTTCATTTTTTGCATACAACTTTCTATCAATCCAGTAAGGTTCTGATATCTATAACTTGGCTTTTTTGTGCACCATACTGTGCGTTAATTTATTTTTTAGTCATGACAAGAGTAAGCAAGAGTCAGACCTATTTTTGAAAGGACATCCTTGGCCTGATCTCAGATTGCGTGGATCATCCAGAGTCACTCCAAGAGGCACTTCGTTACAGGGGCACATTCTCATTTCCCTATTTCCGCATATTTTCCATGATTTATGTTGCTACCTACACATTCGGGATAGTAAACATGGTATGATTGATGCAACTTGGATGAAACTTGATGATGGAAATCAGCAGGAAGGATAACTTAGCTCAGTTGAGCTCATTACGCGTAACCATACATTGTCAACATCGCAACGATGCACTTTAGGTGTTTGCCGTAGTGAAACTACTAGTAGCAGCTTTGTGATGTAGTTCCTGGTAAACTCTTATTTTTTAGGCTGTAGCCTGCTCAGCCGGTGGTGTGCACATAAAGGTGAGCTTTATNAACTTGCTGATGGAAATCAGCAGGAAGGATAACTTAGCTCAGTTGAGCTCATTACGCGTAACCATACATTGTCAACATCGCAACGATGCACTTTAGGTGTTTGCCGTAGTGAAACTACTAGTAGCAGCTTTGTGATGTAGTTCCTGGTAAACTCTTATTTTTTAGGCTGTAGCCTGCTCAGCCGGTGGTGTGCACATAAAGGTGAGCTTTATATTCGTACAAATCATTAATCTCATGCGGTGAGTATTGCATATAGCTTCATCGATGCTAACCCACTGCCAGCTTATTACACCGGACAACCTGCAATTTTGGGCCAAAGTCACAGGCCAATCACAGTGTCGCTACTTTTCCGTTTGGGATTGAAATATCAAAAGGAGCAGTGCAAAGCGTAACGTGGCAATGAAGAGTTACTTTGTCCTCTTCTGAACACCAACGCAAAGTGACCCGTATATCTCAAAGACCTTTTGAGAGCCATAAAATAAACGAAGCGTAGGAGATCCGAGGGTTTTCTATCCAAACTTCTATAATCTTGAGTACTGCATGCTCTACACCGTATCCACCAAATGTTTTCACTAATATTATCCATTCCATGTATCAACGTTCCCGGTAGCGACCAATTACGATACTCATTCCCAATCACCCTAGTTCATATTTTTGTATGCAGCGTTGTATATTGTCTGCAAAAACTCACCCCTTGAGGAGATACTTTGCGAAAATTCGAGGCATCACGCGAAGACACAAAGATGTTGATGAAATTTTGAATGCTTCGAGGATTTCCATAGGCTTTTTGTATAACACTCGAACACCGCTGACTTCCAGCAGTAGCAGATGTTTGATGTAACCCTTTAGGCAAACTTTATCGAGCTTCACTTTCCCCAGAAGCTTTCCATTATATGTGGAATATATAAGTTCACCTTTCGCAGTGATATCTCCCACAAGCACAAAATCGTATGGCCTGGTAATTGTCCAAAAAAAGGACAAATTCAGAAAGTTGTGAGTAAATCACACTATTTTGTTACATCGTGCAAGACAACTGATATAGGCGAGAGACTCAAGTGTGACAATCTGTCTATATACGAAGGCAAAAGCAACCATTCACATTACTTTGAAGAAAGGCGTGAAGTAGAAAGCAGAAACACTTAGAGAGCCCTTCGTTTGCAGCCCCGATGGAAGTCTTCCTCAAACTTTCTTTAAAGTAATGGTTAAAATGAAGCTAAACGAGAAGCTTGAATGGATATTCCGGAGATTTCTTGTATTTTCTTACTCAAAACTGTCAGCACAATCGATACTTTTCGTGTCTACGGTTCATAGTACACAGCTTCCTAGTTTAGTGACAGGTTGTTCACGACAGAAACCTGTAGAAAAATAGATGCAAGTAGCATCGTTGAAGTTTAATCTGAATACCAAGCACTGTCAAACTGGGAGCAAATCTATAGGTCAGTTCGACTTCACAGTCTAGCTACCTGTTCTGCTTTTATAACGTTTCTTGTATTTCCACCCCTATTTCGTCCTATGGAAAACACTTCGTATCATCAAAAATCCGCACCCAACAAACCCTTTGAACTTTTGTTTCCACGGGTCTTTCAGCATTGTCGTCGTTCCTTTGGACGCATGAAATACGTGGATTTACTTCCTGTGGAAATAGTTCGGGGTTTGTAGTTAACTGTTGATAAACAGAGCCCATCCTAGTTGCACTTGACCTGTAACTGGTGTGCATTTAGAAGCTATGTAAAGTTTACCAACCACCTCAAAAAGTAAATTGATCCGCTGATTCTCAAGTTTTGTTTGTCTTTTCTCTATTTAACATGTCAGCAAATTTACCGTATGCCCTAAAAGCACATTGTCGTATACATTTGGCTGGAAAAAAAACATTTACACTTAAAGAGTAAGGGTTTACGGTTCGGAAACCGTCTGTGTTATGGAACTTAGGTTATAAACTTTTACATTCTATTAAAGGCTAGTAAACCGGAACAAATGGTTTTCTGCTGACTAAGTCTTGATAAGGATTTAACCAACCAAACGCAAGGCATGGATTGAGAGACGGAATCTTACAATAGCATTGGGTCAGAATTGCATTTCTTGCTAAAAGAATAGCAACGACAGACTCAAAAGGACAATTCGCAAACCATGTAGTTAACCATGAAGAATTTACTTCATTTGTGCTGTAAATTTTCCGCGGCCCCAGCCGTACTGGCTCTTTCAAATGGTTTGTCGTAGGCGAACCGTAAGACAGTTGTAAGATGCTTAAAGTGAGTCAGTCCCTTGCGGAGTAAATCGAGCAACATTCTAAATGTTTTAGCACGTCACCAATGATAAAATTCCAGTTTGCCTACGTCGCATAAATTATGAAGCTTGAAATTTTTCTAGATATCCAAAAACTCTCGTAATGTTTCTTCAAACCGGAAATCGACAGCATTATTCTAGCGATTCAGTTGTCCCGATTGCAATCATAATGAACCGCGATATCTGATCTACTGTGTCGCACCTCAGCAATTTGATGACCTGATGAGGCATTTATTTAGGTGTTAAGAGATTGCGGACCCATCGACATACGTCAAAGACGAATACTACAGTAGCAGTAAATTTGGCCCACGAAATATCCAGTTATTACTCTACAATAGTAGTTGGGGGACTTAAAAAAGCTTCATTCCATGCGACCTGAACTGTGGAAATTGGCTATGAACAGCGATTCTATGGAATATTTAAAACAAGAATCCATATCATCATAGTAGCCTTTAAGCGTATCATTGTAAGCGCGATTTTGCTAAGTTAGCAGTTAAAGTTTGTATATCGTGAGCGGATCATGTCAAAAACATAACCATAATTAGTCTGAATAGGCGGTACTTGAGCAAACTACCTGAATACAACGTCGAATTTGAATGTTACCGCTTTCTGCTGTGAAATCCATTGCATGAGGCTACTTCCGGTCATTCCAGGCAGATGAACTCCGTTGATGCCTATCAGCTGATCCCCAAACCCGATTCCTTTACTAGCTGCCGCGGAGCCGGTCTCGACAAAACAAAAGAAGATTCGCTGCCAACAGAGAAACGTGCAAACAAACGTAACTTGAAAGTAATCATTTCAATGTTTTTCAGGTTCATTCTGGTTTTCAAAACGAGGTCGACCCGTCAAACTACAGCAAAAACAATTGTATTAAAATTTAACCTGGAGGAATTTTAACCCCAGAATCATGAAAGGAGCAGTAAGATTGATAACTTTAAAAGCAAGAATACCAACCTCAGGGAAAGAAAGAACAAATCAAATAGCAGGAAAGTCAGTTGCACGCATCGTTTACTGACTAGTGCCTATGGAGAGAAAATGCCACTTGGGTGATTTCCAAACGCTTTTTTACTGAGCATAGTGCAAACAGGACGCCGTCACGGGACCAAAAACAAACAAGAGGCTGCACAATCACACCGGTCGGGTTGTATTAATTCAAAATGGTTGAATAGGTATGTTTACTTGGTGACTATTCTAGATTGAACAGAACAAAAAGCTATATACTCATTGGGGTAAGCGATGACGCCAACACTATGAAACCAAAAACTGATCGATTACCTACTGGTTTGATATTTTCTTATCTGTACCCACAGCAGCAATGATTGTGCCTCCATTTCCGTACACATATGCCGGAGAAAGCGGGAGTAATGAAAGTAAATATGAGTGTTCTCCCAATTGTGTCATCCTGGTTGGCAGTGTCAGTGTGAATCATGAGCCTGCTCTGCTTAATTATTGTCATAAATGTCCGGTTGACTTTTGATTGAGTAACATGTATTGGCGCAACAATGTCAGCCTACAGAGGTAAGTGAGGAAACTTTGGATGTAAGTCATCCGACCGTTCTACTCCCAACACATAGGGATAAATAGTCGAGATATTGTAGATAGAATACGTGGGGACCATTGAGGGTCACCATGAGTTAATAGAGGAGTATATGCATCCCCAAGATTACAGGCTTTTTCAGAGCTAGGGTATAAACAGCGCAGTTATGGTATGCTAGTACTTGTGTCGCAGCTCATTTTGATTCTAAAGTCATTGCTATGAATCATATCGAGTAGAAAATATCACAAAAATCTTAGTAATAACAAAAAATAACTTGGTGGACGCAACGACTGGTCGGTAACTTTTCATGAGAAATAGCTCGACTGAAAGTATACGGTTCTCGCACCTGGTGTGACTATTTTAAAAGATGATGAAATGCAAGCCCAGTGCATTTCGGTGATAAGTTGTTTGGTGATGGAAGAGTCGGGATTCCAACCAAAAACATTACGTTCATTTGGGTGGTCTGAAATGTGGAGGGAAATGCTTTCGCTCCGCTCTTTCGTATATATGGAAACCAGGTGGAAGAGTATCCACCTTGACATTGACAATATTGTGCAGATGTGTGCTCACAATTAAGCGTATACTCTAGGCTTTCAGCAACAAGCGTAGCTGTGCTGTCTTACACATCGTTATTAAGGTTGCGTTCACGAGTTTCGTCATCTTATCGGTAACGATGACTCGTTTCGTGTCAGCCTGTAGACCTCCACTCCGGCTTGGGGGTGAGTTCTCGCGTGGTACAGTATAGGCATTTTGGGATAATTGGTTTCCTTCATAGTATCCGCAGNGCTCTTCCGTATATATGGAAACCAGGTGGAAGAGTATCCACCTTGACATTGACAATATTGTGCAGATGTGTGCTCACAATTAAGCGTATACTCTAGGCTTTCAGCAACAAGCGTAGCTGTGCTGTCTTACACATCGTTATTAAGGTTGCGTTCACGAGTTTCGTCATCTTATCGGTAACGATGACTCGTTTCGTGTCAGCCTGTAGACCTCCACTCCGGCTTGGGGGTGAGTTCTCGCGTGGTACAGTATAGGCATTTTGGGATAATTGGTTTCCTTCATAGTATCCGCAGCTTTCAATCTGGTCTGTCAAGTGTACAGACATGTCTAACCCTATTAAAACAAAAATCTAGTCAAGCAATTCTTGTGTTGTATTGAACAAAAACGGGTAATTTCCTTCGTGTTGTCTATTTTAGGCAGGTGTACAATAAACCAAAAGCCTCATTGTCCCATCAAAACATCTAAGAATGCATGAGGTTTGTTCAGATATTCACGACAGAAACGGAGATTTTACCAAGGTGAGTTCACGACTCCTGTATCCGGTAGTGCTGATAGTCAATGGGAACGTTGCCATCTATGTATCTCCCACGCCACACTACTTCTACATTTTGGTGCACAAACTGCTTGTGGCTGCGCCATCACTGTGCTGATACCTTGAGTCTTGAAATCTCAATTTAACACTTTCCTCACAGGATATGATGAAATTTCAAAAAATAAGGATGCAAACTTGGGTAAAATAGCGGTAATCCATCACGGCCGCTACAATTCATGGATAAAATCAGCTGTTTCCTCAAGGACACTACTTATAAAGAAGAACTGAACGTTGAAATGCTAAATAAAGGGAGTGAGAAGTGCCAGTCGAGTTCCGCACACTTACAGACTCCAATGCACTTCATGAACTGTTGGTCACCAACTCTGCTCTAGTATCTTCAGTATCCATTGGACTAGGCTGGAATGAGATTAACCACACTCAGCCGAGACAGAATACAGAGGTACCCATGTTTGTCTTTGAAAGACATTAAAGACCAAGTGCACGTGATCCACACATCTGCTTAAACGGTACTATAACTCTGATAGAAAAGTGCGTGATTTTAATACTCGTAACTCAAATAAAATTTGCTTTTCGACAAGCAAAACTTACTCTGGTAACACATCCACTTTCAAATTTCTCAAATCTAACAGAAAAACTTGCATTTGGATAATGCAAACTGACTGTGCGGATTCATTTGTCAGGCTTCAACACAGTGTTTTAGTTATACTTTAACCAGAGCAGTGTGTTTATACGGACTTCTGTCGTACTGAGGAATGAATTTCGTAGTGTGGGTACACGCTGGTTCTTTGAGAATAACCAGCAAACAAGCCTAAGTCTTGATAAACTGCTGAAGGTTGAAGCCCTCAATTTGGCACAAATATTTGATAGATGAGTGTTTCTTACATAAGCCAAGTTACGTATTATCTATTGAGAGTTTTAAGAGTTGGCACTGTCACACTCTTTTGGCCGAAGATTTGCGATAACGGATCTATTCTACATCTGAATCAAACAACACAAACATCCCTGCAAACTTTACATCATCGATCGACAGTGACATTAAACAGCAAACCTCGAAACACTTTAAACAGCGTCTCAACTACAAATCAAACTCAGCCGATTGTTGAAGCCTATGTGCAGCATGAATTGTAACTGGTTATAAGTGAGCTGGTGCATGCCAAACGTCATACGATGGGTCGTACTGTGTAGTTTCAACCACTCAAATAAACAATCGATACTCAGACTCCTATCGCCTGTGACAGTGTGTTACTGGAAGATAGCCAAACTATTTGCTGTTTTGGCAGCCCTGTATGTATACCGACCAAAGGTTCTATGCCCGTAGAGCTGCTTTCGAAGTTTGTACATCATCATCATCATCATTATTAAAACAGATGCTTTCCTTCCGTACAGCCATAAAGTTCATCTAATTACATTTAAAGCCTTGGAGCGAAAAGAAAAGAAGCAGAATGGCTGAGATTACCTATTGCTGGTCTATGTAAAGCACAGTGGTTCTCTAATACTGTGTGCCCAAAAAAGATCGCGATCTACCTACCAACAGTTAAATTATTCCCACGATCTGAGTATCCACTAGCTTCTTTCCGGGTAAACTACCGTGCTGAAAATCTATTGAGGTGACATCTGGTCGATTCCGTACCAGTGCTTGTGTATGCTAGATTTCCAGAATGACAGAGGTGTAAGTTCGTGTCTGTAGATGTCTAAGAATACAGAGCACAGCAACTGTTCGTTGATGAAGTGTATCAGTGTCGCACCCCAGGGGAGCAAACGTGCAAGCCCAAGAAGCTGTAAATTTAGCAGAATGACGAAAGGTAACATGGTAAACATAGGCAATTCGGGTTCCGGGGTGAATCGTGCATGTGGGGCCTGTCTTCGCTGGCCGTTAGCATGTCCTCAGAATCGTGTGGTTGTGACTGGACAACAATACCATTCTGTCGCACCATCTACTCTGCGAATCTTCTTGTGAGCATCGGATTACGTGGGAATGAAAGATATGACAAAACAAGTTACATAGTGATTAACTTGCGATGAGAACCAAACAGTGAAGCATGCGGCTGACGGTTATGCTATTAAAGTTGTTATCCCTGCCGATTTTATCAATTCTGCTCTTGAAGACTTGAATCCTGATCAAAATGTTTATGGACTCAGGTTGGAACACACACGTTGAGTGGTCGTGATTGCAACCCCACATGCTCATGAATCGCATTGTTGTCTTCAGGGGCAGTTCCCGTTTGCAAAGTAAATCCCACTCTCTTTGACGGCTTCCAGTAACTTGGCGAAACCCAACTCTTACACTTTGTGACGTCAATCAAACTACTTCAAAGATTTGCTGTTTTACAACTTATTTTGCAAACTTATTTTTCATTTTATACCAAGAAAACCATGGTAGGAGTGTAGACCTGTGGTCGATAGCCATATTGTACCGGCTCAATAAAACTGACTTAAAAATAGTGAGTGCAGTTTAGGGCAACACAGATCCAACAAAGTTTACCTTATTGATGCCTCTCTGTCAGACCCGGTTAAAGTTTAGGTAGTGGTTGGTTAGGAAACAACGCTAAAGAAGGACGTGATCCTACCACTCAAATATCTGGCCAAGTGAGCGCTGGGCCTTTCGATCCCACTTCGACCTGTGAATTCCTTAGCCAGTTGCTTTCAAATCGGCCAGACAATTCGATATGATGAAGCAGATTAGGTCTGACAGTACCTTGTAGATAGGTCTGTTAGGTGTTGCAACGTCCGCCTGGTCTCCCTTGTCCAGTAACGGCAATGGGTCTTAGTCACGTGGGTTCCATTAAACAATCTGCGCTCGAAAATTCGGGTGACGGGCAATCCATCACTCCGTCACCAGCTCTTGCATATGCTGAGCTCAACCATGAAAAAACATTGTTCGTCTCAGATCACCGATTCCCATCTGTGATTCATTCCAGATCACAGCAGCTCAGTTATTAGTAAGTAGCGTAGCAGTAAATTGTTTGAAAAGTGACTAGTCACTTTTAAAATCGCCTGATGAATTAACTGGTGCCAACCTGTGATGGCTATGGTGTTCATAAATCCGAACGACTAAGTTGTCACCCATCTACAGTGTTTACACTTTACAGGCTCACTACAAAATAATTCACACTGAAGTCTCATACAGATGAAAACTGAGATCGATCACATACTGTTTTATTACAAGCGTCATGATATAGGTGACATCAGTGAAGCCCAGTATTGTCGTCCAACTGCCGGTAGATGTACCTAAATCACATAACAAGTACTGAATGCTCAGTTTAGTTCAATGTTCAAAATCTGTGTCGTTGAGCGCAAAGTCGAACTGCTTGGCGAGAATCGCAGACCGTTGAATGAAGTTACGTTACCTCCATCCTGAAAACACCGGCACACATCCCTACTGTCCTAAACACCAAATATTTTTTCTTCTCCTTGCAGGCTAGAAATTGTATGCAGTGACCTAAATTATGTAAACGCCTTAAAGTGCAGTTCTACTTGTGGTTCTCAACTTTTTCGAACAGAAAACTAGAGGGTTTTTTCCTGGGTGAAGTATGAATGCAGACTTCTAACAACTTCGATGACGTACATTGGTTCATTATGGTAGATAAATGTATGGGGAAAATGTGGCAACTTATTTGCGACTATCAGTTGGACGACCATATGATCGATGATGTCAGGAAGGTTTACATTATCCTCAGTCAACAAGGTCTTAGCAATAATGCTCGAACACGAAGAATGCAACAGCTCAACGGCGCTCTAAACTGTAGCAGCAATATCCGTTAATATAAACTTTGGCTATAGTATTCACATTAAAGCATGTTGTCACAAATTTTATCCTTATTAAACAACGGGTTGCTTACGCTGCCCATTCGCTTTAGTTTGATACCAAGTTTTCCGGATGTATCTTTTGATAGCGTCAGTTTTTTCCGCACCATATGTCCTCCACAAGACATCCTTCTAGGAGCATTAGACGGCTGAGGACAGGGTTGCGGCACTGACTGAGGGATTGGTGGGCACTCAGGTTGCGGTGCTTCTGGTTGATGCGTTTTGCTGCCGGCCGAGGAAACCAGTTGACCGTACTCGTCATACGAACATCCCAACATTTCTTCATACATTTCGCCTTCATCACTAGAATCGTCTGAACTTTCGCCAGCACATCCTCCTGCGTTTTCCGATAAGCTCAATGCGCTCAAATCAGGATAACCTGCCATTGCTTTCAAAAACTAAAACAGGTAATATAGATGTAAGAATTGTAACAATAAGTAAACTAGGTCTGTCAAATTATTCATGAAATATCTACAAAGAATTCGGAGTGGTATAGCCTTGGAAACCAAATAAAAACAAAGCGACAAATAATTTACGGTTTACTTTTACGAATTTAAGCGGTTTCAACTTATGAATTTCCTAAACGTAAATAGAGAAGTGTAGCAATCATGCATCAAGCAAAAACCATTCTGTCAAGCGACGGCATATAACGGGTGAGTAATTGCAATCCATGCTCTGCAGACTTTAACGAGTAGCCTGAGTTTAAACATCTCTCAGAAAAAGTTTACTTTCACCTACACACCGTTTTGCAACCGTAGATAGGTTCTCTTAAACAACCGGATATCCTTCGCGAGAACCTTCCTTTAAGATAGTTCCTAAATGCTCTCCTGTATAATTCCTGCACAGATGACTAAAAAAGATGACCCCATGAGTTCTCCATGTCTGGATGACATGAACAGCAAGCTTTTTAATTTATGTCATCAGTTATTTATTTTTATTTATTTCACCCTCGCTACTTTGAGTATCCTACAACTCCAAAGCCCTAGTTTATACCTACTGTCTGACGGAGTGGTAAAAATTGTACGACCATATGCAATTTCCTTGTTGCAGTCCCATCGTTTGGGAATGCAGTGTGGATTGTTGAGCTATGGGTCAAGCTTTCTCTACCTCAAGCACAGAAATCGATATACCAAAATCTTCAGTTATGCTTATCGTTGGCCTGAAAACGGCTGTGAAAGAGCAAATTCTCTGTTGTATCCTTCGAAAGGGAGCGCTTTTAGGGCAAAAGGAGGATGTATATGCAAACTAATGAAGGTTTGTGAGTAAGCAGTGGGGAGATTTTCTCTACATCTCAGCGCTTCAGGTTTGTTGGACAATATGACACCCTAAATTAACTGATTTTACATTTTTTGAAAGGCATCACCGGCGTAAAGCCAGTTTTTATGTATACTTTTGTATCTTGCCGTTTAGTTTACTTAGCACAACACAATTCCATTCCGGGTTAACAAAAACATCAAACAGTTGTCAACTTGAGTGCCTGGAAATATGTTGAATAACTGCTTTACATATTGTGGTTTTATAAATTTCCTGGCACAAATAGCATGATAAGAAAGAAGTACGCATGTGAAAACCGCTTAATTCAGACTTGGTCAACTTTTTTTCAATCCAAGTAATGGTCAGTTGCAAACTGAAGGTAGATTTTGATTGCAATAAATCAAACAAATCATCAGAAGGTCATTTGGCAACTGTTGAATAGACCATGTGCACACTCACTTAGTCCAGAAGACGAGAGTAACTTTCTGATGTTCACCAACTTATATGAATATGTCTGAACTCCTAGTACATGTATAGATCAGCAATATCGTAAAATGTGTACCAGCTCTGTTGAGAGCTATGGCCAACTCAAACCGAGTTCCTAGGTAAAACCGTTATTACATATCCCCTAGCAAGTACTGTGGCTGTTTGACGTCTGTCATTTGGAGAACAAAACTTAAATGTCAAGTTTTCTACCTACGTCAGGTGATTTCGAGAAATTCGAGGTGATGAATATGGAATTTAACCACGGTTCCGAGTGATACAACTGAGTCTATTTCAACCATTCCGGCCTTGGACTAAATATCAATTGGAATTATCTTTTACTGATAAATCAAGAATCTGATGTTGATTTGTTTTCATGCCACCAAATTTAGCTCCACTGTCACTTTGAACCTCTCCAGTCACCGATTAAGACAGTCGTCGGAATCCTAATAATTATTGATCTTTTCAGAAATCCGAATTTATAGATCATGAACTTAGAAATACATCTAAATTTCTAGACAACTGTGTTATCAAATTCCAAAAACTGGGCTAAATGAACAGCTTTCTCTTTAGCAAAACTCGTCACTTAAACTTAAAGTGTTCAAAAAACGTCTTAACCGTTCGAGCCACACAGACAACACATATAGCATGGGCTTTTGGTAAACTTTCAAGTTCATGGTTGAATAGATATTATTCTTTTCGGTAAGAAGGACTACTGAGGTAAAGTTTTCTGACAAATCATCAGCATTTAGGTGGCTTCATTATTATATCAGCAGTTCCCTAGGCCCAGAATCGCACAGCAAATCAATCTGTCTGGTTGCACAATTCGGTAGGCAGGTGTGTTTTAGATAGCTACAACATGGTGTAACTGCGTCCGCTAAATCACCTCTTCTTCTGATGGGCTCCTTTGATGTAGAAGCGCTCCTGCAGCTGAGCTTATGCCTCATATTTTACGATAATATTTTAGCTACAAATGAGTTTTAACCCAAAACGCAAATTACTATATATCTTCGTGCATTTAACTGGAGAGGTCTGATGGAGGGCTTCCTAGGAACTTATTGATAGAAACCGAAAGTTTCATATCGGTCTTTCGATATGGGTGCAACATAAGTTTGATCTCACTGTAAACCATTGAGCTGGAATTAAAATTTACATTTTATTCCGTTGACCTTGAAAAGGTTAAATGCAAGCTGACGTAATGAAGGCAAGGAATAGTTGAGAGAGGAAAGATCAGCCTTAAATAAAAATCTGATTTTTCAAACTTTTGATACTACAGCTTCAGTTGTACCGAGCGAAAACCCATCAGTGGGGAGGATAGCAATGAGAAAAAGCTTAGAAAATGGTTTTGGTTGTATTTAGACTTTTAGGGATGCCAGACTTATCCTCAGGCAGTTTCTGTACTCTGTCGTACATAGTTTTCATCCAGAAATCTGGAAATGATTCACCTTTGTGTAATTTCGGTTTCTCAGAGGATGAGCATTTTTACTGCTGTGTAGGATTTGAATTTTCCTAGTTAGATCAGTAAAGGAGATGAATGGAATTCTGGCAGTAGCTAACTTGAACAATGGCTCTGTGCCGATACAAAATTCAGGAGGCTTTTTTTATTATGTAAGCTTGCCATCAACGACTAAATCTGCTTTAATGGGTCTTTCTGAAGCTTTTATAATAAAGTATTGATTTTCGAATGTTGCTGTTGCTTAGAAAAATGCAGTCAGGTTTGATTTGTAGACTTGTGCCAATATGTTACACAACCAGCAGTCATCATAATCGCTGGCCGCAAAAAATGCGTACATGTGCAGAAGTTTCAGTTTTGTTCACCGATGATTAGGAGAAGTATGGGTAAATGGCCACGTTTATAGGCAACAATTGATATGAGTGATGAGCCATTATAGGCATCTCGAGGGAAATGCAAGGTGGAGACGCTGCGTTTTTAAGAAATGATTTTATTGCATAAGTGGCACGTAGCGCGCCAATTTGGTCAATGGCTCAAGCCATTAAAATGTTCTGTCACAATATATACATTGAGGGGAACGTTAATGACTAGTGTGGATAAGTTTGCTGGTAATGACAATCATTGCCTGAACTTCTTTTGTCCGTTTCTACTCCTAGAATAGTTATGCCAAAATGCCGCCTTAAGAAAGTCAGTCGACTGGTACTTGGCCAAATCAGAGCAACCTAGTGAGTGTGATCACCTCGTCTTACGTGGATAAGCTATTTCTTTCAAGAAAAGTAAGCGTACTGTAGCATTATTGTTCCCAACATTTGTACTTCATTTTTCTCCGTGCGGAACCACCAGAGTCTGACTCATTTGTCGTCAAAATGTAATAATGATCTCCAAACAAGAAAGGTTTAAAAGGCTTATAAGCCTGCAAGTGTGACTAACACCTTAGCCTGACCCACTGACCTGCCAGAGCAGTTGTTCGGGATTCACATTCTAGAAGAGACTCAGAGTAGGAGACAACTCCTGGGTTATTTATTCAGGTATTTAGCTATGTTTATTCCAATGGTTATGTACAACCACATGGCGGTTGAAGATAATTGGCTATCATTCGCTGGATTTTGGATTTTTCTGTAGGTACACCATTGCATCTGAAACAACATCTGACCTAAGTGCATCATATGTGAATTTTCGTCCACAGAAGATTATCAAAACGTCTGCTTGGAAGAGGTTCATTAGTAGTATACTCATCCAGCTGTCATTGTGGATTCCAAACTGTAAATTTGCGAACCAGAGAAAAACGCGCGAAAAGTTTGAAGATGGAATACAGGTCAGTGTAATTCATACGGCAGATCCTGCGAACGAAGAGGGTATTGAGGTAGTACAAACGGTCTACTTTAAGACAACGATGTAGAGTGAGAACAGGTTCACCCATTCAGACGTGAGAATTCAGATGCGTCCAACGTGCGCTGGTGGAATAGTGGTAACATGTTCGCCTCGCATGTCAGGTGTCCGGAGTTCAAACCCCGGCACGGCCATTGCATATGCACTGCTGATGAGCTCTAACAAGAGCGGAACTCGAGTCTAGTGCTTTCCTTTGGTGTGCATTCACATGAATAATTGCGCCAGGACAGGAGGACGACTGTTCAAAACGGTTTTTAAGAAATGATTTTATTGCATAAGTGGCACGTAGCGCGCCAATTTGGTCAATGGCTCAAGCCATTAAAATGTTCTGTCACAATATATACATTGAGGGGAACGTTAATGACTAGTGTGGATAAGTTTGCTGGTAATGACAATCATTGCCTGAACTTCTTTTGTCCGTTTCTACTCCTAGAATAGTTATGCCAAAATGCCGCCTTAAGAAAGTCAGTCGACTGGTACTTGGCCAAATCAGAGCAACCTAGTGAGTGTGATCACCTCGTCTTACGTGGATAAGCTATTTCTTTCAAGAAAAGTAAGCGTACTGTAGCATTATTGTTCCCAACATTTGTACTTCATTTTTCTCCGTGCGGAACCACCAGAGTCTGACTCATTTGTCGTCAAAATGTAATAATGATCTCCAAACAAGAAAGGTTTAAAAGGCTTATAAGCCTGCAAGTGTGACTAACACCTTAGCCTGACCCACTGACCTGCCAGAGCAGTTGTTCGGGATTCACATTCTAGAAGAGACTCAGAGTAGGAGACAACTCCTGGGTTATTTATTCAGGTATTTAGCTATGT